TTACATGTTTCTTTCCGATTAGAAAATTATCCTGATTTTTTTCCTCTTAAAAAAAGTGTAGGGGCTGGAGCAATAGCGCAGCGGGTAGGGCGTCTGCTTTGCATGCGGTCGACCCTGGTTCGATTCCCAGCATCCCATATGGTCCCCTGAGCACCGCCAGGGATAATTCCTGAGTGCAGAGCCAGGAGTAACCCCTGTGCATGGCCAGGTGTGACTCAAAAAGCAAAAAAAAAAGTGTAATAAGTTAAGAAAAAAGGTAGAAAACTTACTAGCACAAAACTCATCTCAGAGCAGGGAGGTGGGAGATTAACATCTGATTAAAACTATAAATTCACCCCCCTCCCCCCAGCAGCAAGGTGGCCGCTTCCTCAGAGCTTATAGAAAAGGCAGGTATAAGCCAGCAGAGACAGGGCAACTGAAGTCTCATGGGAAGGGAGGCGGTACCAGCTCGTCCTTAATGCCCCAACGAGGTCACGAGTTGCCCCCCTCGAGTGGCTCTACGGCATAGCCATAACATCAGACGCACAGATACCAATCTCGTAATTATCTGGCTGTTTGCAGAAATCCAAAATCATTATATGATTCTCATAACAAGCTATAGAAAACAAAGTATTTCACAATGCCTTTTCAGCAATTCTGATTGTTGGGGGGAAATTCTAAATAATAATGGTGCATCTTTTGTCAAAATGATGAATGCAATCAATGTAGAGAAAAGTTAAGTAGAAATCATCTACCTCACAGGCATTTGGAGGGGTGAGAGGAGGGATATATTGGGTTCTAGGTGGTGAAAAATGAGTACTGGTGAAGGGAAAGGTGTTTGATCATTGTATGACCGACACTTAAACCTGAAAACTTTGAAACTTTTTCCACAGTGATTCAATAAATATAAGAAGAATAAATAAATAAATAAATAAATAAAATGATGAAAAAAAATGTAAGGTGGAGTTCATGCCCAATTCAATCAGCTAATCAGTGCCTGAATAAATAACAGTACTCCTACATTAAAAAAAAAATTAAAAAAAATAAAACTTAATCAGTAAGTTTATATAAATTTATGTTTTGAAGTAAGAAAATACCTATGAGGCAACAATAATAAAAATATATAAACATAAAAATTGATAAAATGTGTAAACTACTATACATATAGAAATATGAGTACTATTTAAGTATTAGGATGTATGTGGTAGTTATAATTAAATATGGAAAATAAACATTACTTGAATTTACTGTAAAAGAAAAAGCTATAAATTCTGCTGCCAACCCTGGTTTGATCCCCAGCACTACATATAGTCCTCCAAGCATCACAAGGAATTATCCCTGAGCACAGAGCCAAGAGTAACCCAGAGCACAGCTGGGTAAGCCAAAAACAAAAGCAAAAAAAAAGAAATAAAAATCCTAACTAAATAAATCACAATTTTAATCCTTATATCAAAACTATACTTTTTTAAATCTAACATATAGAGGAACATCTTCTTCTTACACTAAGAGTCTATGTACAACTAGGGTATTCTATAAAAAAATAGTGAATCTGAATTTTAGATCTTAGACATTGGCATGAAATAGAACAAAGTTTTAAGATCCAGTGCTACCCGAACTTCGGAAAGCTATTTATTCCCTGAACAGTTGTTTTCTAATCCATAAACTGAGAAAAAGTCTAGCACCTACCCAAGATGAGTTATGCAAAAATTTTAATAAGATCACGTATAGAAGTCTGTAAGCACATGCCTAACACAGGGTAAGCCCCCAACAAATATCTATAGGTATGATTGAAATAATAATAGAAAAGCAAGAGCCGAAGTCTGGATGAGCCCCTAAGGCTTTTGTTTCATCTAGTTCCACATTTTGACATGCAAAAACCCCTTTGGTGGGACTGGAGTGACAGCACAGTGGGTAGGGTACTTGCCTTGCATGCAGCCAACCCGGGTTCGATTCCCAGCATCCCATACGGTCCCCCGAGCACCGCAAGGAGTAATTCCTGAGTGCACAGCAAGGAGTAACCCCTGTGCATCACTGGGACCCAAAAAGAAAAATAAAACCCTTTGGTAAAAATTTTCGTGTTTCTCATATCTGTCTCTCTTTTTTTATAAGAAGACAAGAAAGGAATGAGGAGTACATTTGACATCTGCATGCACACTCTGCCTTTGGAGAGCCACTCTGGAAGCCATACAGCCAGACACAGACAGCCTGGGTACTAAGGCACAGTAATGGGGAAGAGCAGTGCTGCAGTCACTGTACCTGCTTCAGACCTCTCTGGTGAGTAAGAAACCTCCTGACGGTCCAGAGAAATAGCGCAAGGGTTAAGGCACTCGCCCTGCACATAACTGAGCCTAGTTCAGTCCATAGAGCAATGCCAGGAGTGATCCCTGAATATAGAGGCAGGACTAAACCCTGAGCACTATTGGAGATGGGTAAAGGAGGAGAGGAGAGGAAAGGAGAGAAGAGGGGAGGGGAGGGGAGAGGAAGGGAAGGAGGAGGGGAAAAGAGAAAGGAAGAAAGGAAGAAAGAAAGAGGAGGGAGGGAGGCAGGCAGGCAGGCAGGCAGGCAGGCAAGCAAGCTCTATGTTAGACACTGATACTACTGCAGGATCTACCATATCCTGACCAACAGATACTTATATATATATCCCTAGGAAAGAGCCTGATATACTTCTAAGCAGAGAATAAGAAATACTTCCTTTAAAAAAAATTTTTGACTTGCTTTTTGTCAATTTTTATTCTATACTTTGTAACACCACCTTATACTGTAAATAGTTGGGATTTTGTTTTTGTTTCTGGTTTGTTTTTGTTTTGTTTTGTTTCAAATTTCCCATGTGGCTTCTTCCTTTTATGTTTTCTAACCTAGAATAAGAAAATAATTAAATTTTACCTTTATCTGATATACAAATTAATACTGGAAACTTCAGGAGGTCATATGCCATATGTTCTCTCCAGAACAAGAAATAGGTATAGGAATACTTTCAAATATTCCATTTCTGATTAAAGTAACATGGAATAGTTAAGTGGAATTAGAAATACTAACTGGTTCTAAGTAGAACTAAATACAACAAAATTGACAAGAGGTTCAAAGTATTTTACTAAAAAAGATTCTTTTTACTAAAAGCAAAAGATTTTTTTTTGCTAAAAGCAAGAGTTTTTCATTAAACTATGCCTCACATATTATTTATTTTACCTTATCTCTCTACTTTTATATTTATAAATGTCTTTGAAGATATATATTGGTACAATAACACATCACGTAATTTACAAATAAATGTACATTTATCAGTGGAAGTCTCTGTGCTTTAAAAAAATATATAGAGAAGCATGAGGAAAGTTATTTTGAAGCTGGCAATCTAGAGAATGTTTTAAACTTTTTCTTGCTACTTGCTTCATTCCAAAGCTATTCCGAACCATTTTTGCAGGGATGTACAGGGAAATGAACCATTTTGAACTCAGAGGGGATGAAACTAGTGGAGAACTGGGGAAATACAGACCGCAGTAACAAGTTCACAAAGACCACATCAACTCGTAAATTCAGTGAGCAGCAGAAGTGACACCCAAAAGTGTTGATCGGATTTCGGAATGAAGAACAAAGGCTCCTGGTTCCAACTTAAAATCACATTTCCACATCTGAAAAATCAGCAGTCTCTGTCAGCTAATCAAAAGGATAAGGCGATTGCCTTCCACACACAGGAGAACAAAGATCAGAAGACAACAGAACACAAAGCCTCCTGCTGTCACTTGCACTCCAAGGGGGCCGTAGCCAAGGAAACAGACTGGAGGTCAGCAGATGACCCCAGCAACCACAGAAGATTCCACTAGGTCCACATTGAGACCAATTATTGAAAAAGCGAATTGCGAATTCAACCAACTTAGAATGATCTCAAGTTTCTAGAGATAACTGAGCTTTATTTCTTCTCATTGTGCCAAATGCTACAGTATCCACCATATCCCCTGTGTTTTAGTATTTATCTTACTACCAGTAAGCGTGAAGCTAGGATTTAAACTCAGGTGTGTCTGACACCAAATCCCTTACGAAAAAAACAGCAAGTAGATAAATGAGCTCACAAAATAAGTAGAAGCTGAACGTGGAGACTGGAAAGAACTAGAAGGAAAAAAAAAGCAGGATGGAGAATGCCAAGAATTTCACCAGGGGAAGAGAACAGAGAACCAAGTCAGAGAGGCAGAAGACACTGAAATTATGCAGGAATTACCACGCTGTAGTACAAGCAGGGTAGGAGATGTACAGGGAGATGGTACAAAATAAGGTTGTATGAGACAGCTGAAGCCTTCCAACAGAAAGCACTGCAAATGCCACCAAAGCTTACATTATTAATATTATGGAGGGAATGAATAATTGAGGACTTTTACAGCAGTTATAGCCAACCACAAATTGCCAATAGAAAAAACTAATCTTGCTATGAGATGGAAGATGGATCAAAGAATAATAAAATGTATTTACACATAGTAGAGGCATATAGTAGATTTATACAGAATGGACAAGACAGTAGGAACGGAGTTAAAAATTTTAAAAAACATATACCAAATCTATTTTACCCAATCCCATTGAATCTGGTTCAGTTTGCTATTTAGATAACAAACTACAATCATCCCCCACCCCAAAAAAAAATACACCTGGTACTTCCCAAGAAATCAGTTCACCAGTCAAATATGGCCCTCTAGACATGTCTACTCTTAGGAAAACCAAGCTTGTCCTCAAATGCTCAGAGGAAAGTGCATCTGACCCACTGATGTGACAACTAGGAAAGAAATAAAAATTGATCAAATATAAACGTGAGGTGATGAGTGATTCTCCTTCTCTGCAAAAGGTGAAAACATTTTTGGAAAATAAAGAGAAGACAAATGTAACCTCATATTTCCTGGGTCCTCTTGCAGTCTTCAATTTAAACCTATTTCTTGATAATGCCAAACTCTCTTCTGCATGAGCTGTGATATCTGCAAAGTATCAACTGCTCAGTGAGAAGCCAAGGCTGAAAAATATTGAGATGAGATATAACCTACCTGATTTTCTTCATGGGAAACCCTCATCTGCTCTTTGAGGACAGACATTCGGGCTGCTTCTTCTTTCCTCAAGACTCTCTCCTTCTTGAGCTCGGGACTCCAGAAGGTCTTGATGCTGTTCATGGAAGATCCCAACTTGCTGTCTTTGATGTCTAACTCTTTCCGAAGGAGGTCATTCTCTCTCTGAAGTTCCTTGAGCTGGGCTTGAAGGTCTAGCATCGTGCTATCTCTTACCTGCCTCAACATGGAGGGCACCTGGTGGTGGTGATGATGGGATGAACTGGTCAGACCACCATGTTGGTCCGTGTATGAAAGAACATCTGTATGGGAAAGTCCAGCTGACGCAATATTAGGACTACTCCCCATGGCTGTCACTCGGCCTCCATATACTGCTCGATTTGTTGCCCTGCCCAGAGTCATGGTGCCTTTTGGATAAGTCGTTGAAGCCACCCCCTCATGGTCACTCAGGTACATGGGTCCAGATGTAGCATAGGCTGCATTAAGGGACTGGATGTTTTCCATGGACAGAGTCTTGCCTGTTCCTCCACCTCCCCCACTACTTGTTCGTCGGTGACCCAAACGAGGAGACCTTGGCAAACGAGGAGATCTGGAAGGACTCCCTTCCAGATTCGTGATTGTTCTTGCACTTCCATACATCTTTCTTGTTTTATGAGGTACTATCAAAGAGAAGAAATTATATATTCAGTTGGAGATTCAGTCAGTATTTCCACTGTTGGCTGATCCACTGCTGGCCGAAATTTTCACTATGTTCTCTTAAGTCTACACCAGAAAATTACACCAATCATAAATCTGAAAAATTAAAAAAAGGATAATTAAACCACTTTTTTAGAACTCTACAAGGCATTATTTTTAAAACATAGACATATAGATTAATAATGATAGAGATGGAAAAGAGATAATCATACCCATACTCATTTTCAAAATCTGACTCCAACACTTCATTTACTTTAAGCAAACGTCATGTAAACTCTATGCACCCAGCTCTCAACCAAGGTCAACATTTCTTAGAGTCAAAAACAGATGCTCTTTTTCTCGTAGAAAAATGAAGTTTTGCATTTTGGCTCATGCTAAATGACATTTAGAACCCACAGGAAATCCACCACGAAATTCCTCATCGTGGATATTTAACTATAAAACACTCCATCCTAGGAGCACAACCTTCATACACAAGTGGCTCAGCAGTGACTCTAGAAGCTATGGCTTCCTAAGAGGTCAAATGACAATCAATCAGTTATTTCCTCCCCCTATGCCCATTACAGACAAAACCGATCCATCATAGTTCTAGTTTCCACTAGTTTCAGAACTCTTCTCAACACAACACTCTATACCAAATCAACTGACATTAAAACATGTGCATCACATCAAAAAGAACAAGAGCAACCAGTGCTGGCATGAATGCGGAGAGAAAGAGACTCTCATTCATTGTTGGTGGGAATGCCAACTGATCCAGCCATTTTGGAAAACAATATGAACATTCCTCCAAAAAACTAGAAATTGAGCTCTCTTATGACCCAGAAATACCACTTCTGGGACTATATCCTAGGGATGGAATAAAGCACAGTAGAAATAACATCTGCATTTGTATGTTTATTGCAGCACTGTTCACAATAGCCAGAATCTGCAAACAACCTGAGTGCCTGGGAACAGACAACTGGTTAAAGAAACTTTGACACAACTACACAATGGAATACTATGCAGCTGTTAGAAAAGATGAAGTCATGAAATTTGCTTATAAGTGAATGGACAGAATGGAGAGTATCGTGCAAAGTGAAATTAGTCAGAAAGAGAGAGACAGAATAACTGCAATCATTTGCAGAATAGAAAATAACATAATATGTTATTATTATGTTATTTAAAAGTAGCCTACGCTCTACTTTAGGACAGTAGAGACGAGGACCAGGAGGACTGCTCTATGGTTTGGAAGACTGACTCGTGCTGGGGAGGAAAGCCGTTGGGATGGAGAAGGGACCACTAAATCAATGATAGTTGGAGGAATCACTTGGGATGGGAGATGAGTGCTGAAAGTAAACTATGGACCAAACATGATGGTCTCTCAGTATCTGTATTGCAAACCATAATGCCCCAAAGTAAAGAGAAAGTAAGAAGGAAGGTTCCTGCCACACAGGCAGGAGGTAGGAAGGGGTGGGGGTGGCAGGAGGGATAATGGGAACATTGGTGGTAGAAAATGAGCACTGGTGGAGGGATAGGTATTCATTGTATGACTGAAATGCACTTATGAAAGCTTTGTAACTATCTGATGGCGATTCAATAAAAAAAAATTTTAAAGAAAACACTTGGAGGGAGAAAAACTACACTCAACAAGTCTTGTCAACTAAAAAAAATCCTTACAATCAGATTCCAAATGCTTTCACAAGAAGTAAAAAAAAAAAGGCAATTCTGCCTTTCCTCCTTCCACACACATCTTTTAGCCTGACATTTTAAAACTTTTTTTTAAATTTTATTTAGTGGTCTAAAATTGATCACTCTACATCAGTAGAGATGCCATAGGAGACAGCATACCCTATTAGAGTCTGGGTCCCCTTTTAAAAATGGGAAGAAGCAATCTATCATGCATACTTAAGTACACTGGTATGTACTGAAGTACATACCATATAAAATGTATGATTTTATTATATAGCTGGGATTACATAGTTGTGATTACTCCTTTGGCAGGAGGATTCAAGTGGCCTTAAATGGTCTGCTCTGGCTTCTTAGGCCATCTTTGTTTATATTGATTTTCTGCTTTAAGATGGTTAAGCATATAGATCTGAAGAGAGACAAACCAAGGTTCAAAAATCCACTCTAACAATGACTGAGTAGACTTAGGTAAATTATTTAACTATTCAGAGCATTTTTTTTTCAATCAATAAAATGCAGTTACTGCCATTAACTCCTAGTATTGTGAGAAATAAGTGAGATCATGTTTATAAAATACCTGTTTTTGTGCACAGATAGACAATAAAGAGTTTGGGGGGGGGGGGGCTGGAGTGATAGCACAGCAGGTAGGGTGTTTGCCTTACACACGGCTGACCCGGACTCGATTCCCAGCATCCTATATGGTCCCCTGAGCACTGCCAGGAGTAATTCCTGAGTGCAAAGCCAGGAGTAACCCCTGTGCATTGCCAGGTGTGACCCAAAAAGAAAGAAAGAAAAAATAAATAAATCTAAAAGAGTTTTTGGTGGTAGCATCCCATTAATAACAACACAACACACAAGGATGTGCTTTATTTTTAACTTCTTCTCTTTCCTTTCCCTACTTTGTAGTAATACTCAGAGAAATTTTTCCTGACCCTCCACTGGCAGACTATTGTGTTTAGGTAAAACAAACTCTTTCTGCTTGATCCTAGATGATGTCAGGTAAGAATATGAACCAGGTCTGGCAGATCACCATAATACACCCCCCGCCCCCTCCTCACCCCAGATATATTAATTATCTGTGTTAGAGTTAATGACATATGACCAACACTGGTCCAAAAGGACTTCAGGACTTCATAGAGCTTCCATAATGACCACACGGACACAAAAACATTAACTCAAAAATATATATGTACTCTATATTCATTGTGGCTCTTTACACTATAACCACTTTATGGAAAGACTTAAATGCCCAATAACAGTTGAATGGATAAAGTAGTTGGATAATACATACACAATGGAATACAGCTATAAAAAATGAAATCTTGCTGTTCACTGCAACTTGGAAGGAACGATAAGGCATTGTGTTAAGCAAAATAAGTCAGAAGGAGAGGAAGCTAAATCAGAAAGAGATACTACAAATGATCTCACGCATACCCAGTATACAAAGAAACAAAACAAGAGGAAAGACAGTATAAAATGACGACAACCCTTGGCCTTTGATTACAAAATTAAGATCACCTAACAGTAGTAAGTAGGAGGAGGCATGAAAAGGAGAACTAAAAGTAAGATAAGGACATTGGTGAAGGGCACCAAAGTGATAGCACAGCAAAGTGGGGCACCAAAGTGCCCTTCACCAATGGGCACCAAAGTGCCCTTCACCAATGTCCTTACAGTGGTACAGTAATTTTATACATCAAAGCCATACACATTGACACTATTATAAACATGTTAGATAATTATAATTAAAAATTTAATTTAAAAAAAATGAAGTTTCTTCTGAGTACTACCAGGTGGAAATTGAAAGAAAGCCAAGCTTTATTTTATAAATTTTTATTATTGAATCACTGTCAGATAGACCCTTACAAAGCTGTTCATGATTAGGCTTCAGTAATACAGTATTCCAACACCCATCCCTCCACCAGTGTACATTTTCCACCACCAGCTTTCCTCCCGTCACCCCCCCCCCACCTTCTATGGCAGGTGCTTTTCTTCTCTTCTCTGTCTCTCTGTCTCTCTGTCTGTCTGTCTCTGTCTCTGTCTCTCTGTGTGTATGTCTCTCTGCCAAGCTTTAACTAGTGTGAAATCAAAACAGGTGACATCACATAACACCTTGGATTCAGCAGTCATCAAAGCCACAGTCAATTCTAAACTATTTAATTTGCATAAGCCAGGCCAGGCAGATTGGCTGTATGAAATGACTCCAGTTCTTTTCCTCTTCTAATATCTAGATCCTAGGCAGTGCCCCCCAAATCTGATTCTGGATTCAATCATGTGACTTGCTTTGGTCAGTAAGGTCATATCAAATGAGAAGCAAGCAGGTGCATTAAAAAGCACTATCTTTTTGTGTTCCTCTGTCATTGAAATGAAAACATGTCCAGTCTAAGATCATCAGAGGTACCTAGCCAAGAGACAATTGAGTTTACATGCATAAACAAGTCCAGATGAGATTCACCAAACACCAACTCATGAAATTAATACCTCTTAGTATGTCACTGAGATTTTATGGTTGGTTGTTTTGCAGTATTACTTGACCAAGAGCTTAAATGTATTTACCCATCCTTCATTTTTAACTATACTCAAGTCTAGTCGGAACACTTGCCACTTCAAGAGTCTTCACATATAATACAAAAAACTGTTTTCCATAAAGTCATCTCCTTTCCCTAAGATTCCCTGAAAAGAATTATATACCCATTCCTAACCTACAAACTTAATTCCAAATGTTTGTTACTTGGAGCTTAATTTTGTTTTACTTGGAAATAGAAAAAAAATCATTTTGTATCTAATATTTTTCCATGAATAATCTGTTCTGTAAAGAAAGGTGCCTCAATAGTTCCAACAATAGGAATTCATTTACATAGATGATGAGAGAGACAGACAGTGGAATAATGTGACTATTACATGAATATTTAATGAGACAGAAAAAATGTTCATGACATAATAGTGGGAGAAAGGTGAAGCAGATCATAAAACATTTTAATGCTTTACCCACACTGCAAAACACACATATATAAACACTAGCTTGCAGAGAAGACAGGAATGACATGCATCAAAATAGCAATAATTATGCCTAAAAATGGCAAATAGCACTAGTGATTTTCATTTTCTTCCTTTTATTTGCATATTCTTAATCTATAATACATATTTTTATTGCTTTCCTTGGTCTTTGTTCATCTATTTTTTCTATGGTATTTGTTATTTGCATCTACTAACTTTGCATTGTTTTTTATTTTCTAGTTTCTTGAGATATAAAGTTAGGTTGTTTGAAACGCTTTTTTTTCTTAATGTAGATGTTAATTGTTATGAATTTATTTTTCCCTTCCATAATTGCAGCCATTAAAAGAACTGTCTTTTCTGTGTTTAAAACTTAGGAATCTTTGGGCAATTGTTCCCTTAACCTCGGCGGCAACAGAAACTGAGAGCTGGTCTTCAGC